CCTCTAGTAATATATTTACTGAGAAAAATGGTGACATGTTCAATACTTATTTTACCCACTGTATATTTTTATAAATGTTATCTACTGCAGATTTAAAGCCATGTTCTGCAAACTGTCTTTGTTTTTTTAGCCCCCAAATCTCTGAAACTGTTGATGTATTATTCTATTACCATTAAAGAACAAGTATTTTGTGACGCAAATCATATCACCCACAATCTGTCCTGATGGAAATTTTCACACTTAAAGTTGTAGTCATTTTCATCAAACTACAAAAATAATGTAATGAACAGTGCAAGATGCCCAGCTTAAAGTATGTGTTGTGAATTATTCTACCCCATCGAATTTTAGCTCAATATTTGTAAAACTGGCTGAGCCATTATCGTGTTTTAGAATTTGCCTAGCTGTGGCAGCCATCCTCTACTGGGATGAATCCATATATTGAGCAAGCTAATTGAGAATTTCATTAAAATCCTTACAGTCTTTCATGAATTACTTTGCTAACAAACACACGACCACATAGACACCGGCAAAGGCAAGAAGACATCACTGCCTTTGCCTTTTGGCTGTGTGTGGAAATAAATGACAATCTTTACGTTTGACTTTAAGCTGATGAGTCACCTGGTAGTCAGGCTTGGTGTAGTAGTCGAGGCTGGAAATGTGCTCCAAGAACACAGCGAACTCTGCCGGCAGGTGTTTGAGCATCAGACGGTGGTCGTACGTCTCCTTCAGCTTCCCCACGTGTTCCTGGAATCAAACAAATAAAACTGGTTTTGTCTTCTGTTGCTTCCGGCTGCCGCAGGAGAACCGTTTCATCTGTTTGCCCTCACTTTGTCTTTGATTTTCCTCCATGGCAGCTGACCGACCAGAAACTCCACCAGCATGTAGAAAAGAGACCACAGGTCATCATGACGACCCATCTCCTGCAAAATGACACAGACGTTGTGTCAGGTAAAGATGTGGTTGCTGGCTGTAAACTTGTCTTGGGTGGATACGGACCTTATTCTTGTGAGCGTTGACTGATGCGTATCGAACCGTTCCCCTGAACCCTGCAACTGGACGCGGCTGACAAAGACAGATACAGCTATTAATTACAAATAAATGTGAAATTCAGTCCATTAAGTATTAGATCCAAATCAAGTCTGCAGGAATTTTTGAAAGTTTAAAAAAACATGAAAATAAACAAAATAAAAATGACCATATTCAAATTCAGAAATAATAGTTTCACCTACTCTAAATGTTTAGCAAATTTTAAGTTCCTAAATTAATACAAAGTACAAACCAAATGTCAAAAAAAAAAATCCTTTTTAACAGTAAATGCATGAGTACATATTCAGAATTAAAAGGTGAAGCGTTCCCTGTAGGAACGTTTCTCATCCAGAATGTTTGAAACAATTTAAAACAACCAAAAGCCATTCCACCAAAACGGTTTAATTTCTCATCCTGATGAAGTCAAGTTCATCCAATCCTGCCTTGTGGTTCATAGGTCATTTGGCTAAAACACATTTAGTTTTTTATGCTGGTGCCAAACTTAAAGTTTACTCTTTTGATCTCCTTTACAAGGCCAAAATTAAAATTCATCTGCTTGTGGTTCATTTAATTTGAACCCATAAACCAATTTTAGCTGAAAACTCAAGGTAGCGCTAAGGGATTGTGTAAATGTTTTAACAATAACAGTGACACTAAATGCTTTAATGTGCTTTATAAATAAAACTCAGAAGCCAGAGCAACAAATTTAGCATAACACAGAAGGAGCAGATGCTTCTTACAGGTCGAACTTCCTGACAGGAGTTGGTGAACTGACGAGCTAAACCGAAGTCCAGCATGTAGCAGGTCCGACAAGTGCTCGGGAAGCGGCCCATGGCAAAATTCGACTGAAGCAGAGGAGGAGGCAAATACAGGAATTAAAAATGATGATGTGAGAAAGATAAATGCAATTATTACAACCTCAAGTGTAAAAGAAAGTAGAGATGTGTAAAATGTATACAAATACCAAATGCACTGATTTATTTCACAATGAATTATAGTAAACATATCAAAAGTTTAACTAAGAAATCTTACCAATTAAAAAAATTTATTTTGAAGTTTATGTCAGCAGCACATCTCAAAAAAAGTTGGGACAGGGCCATGAGACTTCCCTGAAAAAGGCACCTGGATGGGAGCATTTGATCTAAAACCTGTACCAGTACATATTTTTCTGCATTGATAGTATAGTCATAGATGAACTGTGTTCATGAAAAAAACAGATCTGTTTTTAATGCAGTGCTGCATGAAAACACATATCATATCTTTTCTCTGGCTCCTTGAATGTTAAAGGGATCCCCGATTAGTTGTAACATTAGACATTATTTGATAAACATATACTTTAACTGTAAAATAAAGACTGTAAAAAATACTGTAGGATGTTCAGTTTTTATAATTTTTAAACTAAAAGTTTAAAAATATATTACATGGACGGGGCCATTTTATTTACACGCAAAGCATTCTGGGTAAATGATGACGCGGATAGGTCATTGACATGAGGCTGTTAGTGAGCTATATCCACC